TTATATTTATTAATTATTTTTAATTATTAAATCAACTAAAATCAGTGTTTTAGGGACAAAAAATGAAAATTATGTATGACCTCGAACATTTTTTTGTGTTACAATAACTATATCTGTATTTATGCATCAATTTTTTTTTTTATTTACCAAACTTTGTAGATAAAAATGAGTTTTTCAATAAGATAACAAAAAAAACCTAAATTTTATTAACAATTTAAATAATTTAATAATAATTTTAAATTTAAATTACATTATATATGAATAAAATAAAAATAAAAGATAGAAGTAAATTACTTTTTATTGTGTAAACAAAATTAAAAAAAAAAAATCTAACTTTTAACTTTGTTGAGTACTTTATTGCCTTTGATGAATTAAATGTAGAGAAGAAATTATTAAAAGTACTCTAATAAATTTATCGTGCACATATAAGGCAGTATACGAAGATGTGCAACTTGATGTGAGGCACATGAATTTGGGGTTTGCTCAACTCAGTTCTTCCTATCGGCAGCTGTTGTTTTAAAATGAGAGAGCAAATGTCAACTAGTTAAATAATTTAACGATTTTGAATTTAAATTATATAACAGATGAAACAAATTAAGAGATTAAAAAACAAAACCTGACTGTATAATTCATATATATACATATATATTATATATATAAAGGGAAATTAAGGCTGTTGTACGTGGAACATATAAAATTTTATTTCGCCAGATTCAAAAAAATCAGTAAAAACCCACAGTACTGACAATTAACATGAAGATAAAAAACATATTTTCAATAAATAATTTTCGTAGCCAAATAAACCTTTTTTTCCATTTAAATAGGAGAGATTTATATGGAGAGATGAGGATGCTCAAACTCGTGGAAAGGGTATAGTAAAATGTGATACAGAGTTCCAGACCAAGTATGGAAATTCAAACACAAGAACTTAAAATGAATGAGCCAAGATTATACACATGTTAACGCCGCAGAGCCGTTCTACTTGGTTGCTGATTCCCCATACTAATTGGGGTTCTTACTTCCATTATGATTCCCAGTTCCTCTTAGTTCTGCATGACCCGGTGGCAACTTGGGTGGATGCACAACAACAGGCGTACTTGGGGATGGCCCAGGTGAGGGCGGTGGACGGAATGGCCAAGTGATTGTACTCACAGTTGAAGATGGAGCACTTGAAAGCTGGCTTGGCCTTAGAGAACTTGGAGCACCCTTGTAATCAATCTTCTGTATATCTCCCTTCTGATCCAACTCTTGATGGTTAGGCTGCGCCTCATTGAGTTCCCCTCGACTGGCACTGGGATTTTTCTCTCCTGTTGTCCTAGCACCAGAAGGTCCAAACTGAAGCCAAGGCTGCCTGAAGTGTGGTCGACTTATTGCAGAAACATTATTCTCCACATCTTCTTTGATTCTAACTTGATTGATTGGATCCGTGACTTCAATTGGTTTATTTGATTTGGAGTCTTGGTTTTTATCTTTGTCTAAAATAGGTACATCAATTGGATCAGCCTTAGGTAATGAAGATCGGCTTGTCGCTATGGTAGTTGTGGGAAATGCTTTCTCCGGAGGGACAGCTGGAGTGTAATTAGATGGAAGGAGATCATCCCAATTCTCTAATAGTTCCTTGTATACTTTTCGAAGAGTGACCTCAGTGAGACCTGTCACCTTGCAAATCTCTGCTTGGGTCTTGCGTTTATCTTCTAATTGGCATGCCAGATATATAGCCGCTGCAGAGATGCTAATTGGATTCCTCCGAGTGCAGAAGCATTTATTGATCACTACTTCTCCAATGTGAGTTGCCAGTTCCTGGAAATGTTTATAGGAAACTGTTATGATCTTTTTAATGAAGATAAAAATTCCGTCGCCAGAGGATTAAGCAATCAACTCAATCAATATTGCTTCCAAAACGATGAACTTAGAACTCACATACATGTGAATCACATAAGAGGTACCTGAGCAGATTTGTTGAGTTGGAGGAGGTTGCAAAATCTTGGCATATGGACAGAAATAGAATTACTATTAATTGGCTGGCTCAGTTGTAGAGCTTCTCCTAGTATTTTGATGTATTTGCCAATCTCCTTCTGTTGTACATTAGCTGCAATGGAGATTTCCTGTAGTTTTAAAGCCTATTGTTAGACATTGGGGTTTAAACCAAACAAAATGCAAGAAAACACAGCCAGAAGCACATACAATAGGTAAAAGCAATGGTAAATGTGCCAACTTAATAAAGAATATTTGTTGCTCAAAATCCAACATGTCCTGAGATTTTCATTTTCAGGCAACAAAAAGCTCTATGCCAATTACTAAGTGTGATCATGCTAAGAGCAGCAAAATAAACTAACGGAAACCAATACAAGAAGCCCTTAGAAATATGAATCAATCGAACGAAGATCCCAAATCATGATATAAACAACAGAAATTACTTCTCTTAGCAATGAAACAATTGACTGCTGCATGTTAGGGAAGTAGCAGCACTCAAAATTTGCAAAGGGAACCAATTTGCTATTTTAATATGCTGCATTCACTAAAGCCTATATCATCACTTAGGAGACATAGAAAGTAAATCAACTACAACATGAACAACATACTCTTGGTTCAAGTAATCAGCTGCAAAAGTAACTCAAGTACTTGACCTTACCAGTCAATCCTAGTGGTCCACCAATATGCTCATTCCAGGAGGAAGCATAGAGAATTATTCACAAATTGGGAACAGGTTTGCAAAATTGGGCTTTCACAGAAGGGTCTTACACACCCTTTGCACTTCCTAAGAGGTTTCACTCCCATAGAGAAGATGGGACAAAGAATCAGCATTGCACCACTAATTTTCTATCCCAATTATCATGAAATTGACTAAAAATCTGAAGGCATTAATCATATAATAATACGCATCCTTGCAACAATTCCTGCTTATATAATAAAATTTCACATGCTTAATCTTGACGTTATACATAAAATCATCCTCACTTGCTAATCCACATCACATGTAATCTAGAGAAAATAATTCAATCGAATGAAGAACAGGGAAATTCAATGAAGGGGAAACAACAAATGCTTATCAAAGATAAATTGCATTCTTATTCAAGATGAACTCAATAAAAAAAGAAACCAATTTGGCAGAAAAATCAAAAGAGAAAGGATGAAATTAAACAGAAAAATGTGATGAGTACCTGAAGGGTTCTGGGTTCCTGAGCCTCCCTAATAGCCTGGACAAGAGCAGCAGTAGCAAGTGCCTCCACGCTCCTGTTCCTCAAACAAGTTGCGGAGCAACAATCTCTGAACAACTGAAACGCATGATCAGATATGTCATAATCCAGCCCCAAAATCGAGGCCACATCAATAATCTGCATATACGCCCTCAAATTATCCACCACCACCGACGACGAAGAGGAAGACGACGTGGATGACGAAGCAAGCTCCAGAGTGCGCTCGAGTTCTGCGAGGTAACCGGAGAAGGAGAAAGAGGAGCGGACGAAGAGAGGGATTGGCTCGAGGGACCAAGTGGAGAAAGCGGTGATGAAGCCAGTGGGCTCGAACGGGTCCTCTTCGTGGGCCTGGCGAGTTGGGACGGGGAGATCGGAGGTGACAAGGCAGAGGGGAGTGTCCTGCGCCCGCACGTGGAAGAGGTGGTGGTTCTGGGTCTGGCGTTCTTCGACGACTCGGCCGCACGAGGTGCACTCCGTTATGAACCGGCCTGAGCTTGTAGTGGCGCAGCGGCCCTGCGCCGACGAGCAGTATGGGCACTTCATTTAGGTATCTGTTTTTCCTTTTTACTTCAACCGTACGATCGCCACGGTGAGGTGCTTAGTTGAGACCATAAAGACGAGGGAAGTACGAGAACAGAACAAAGGCACCTTCTAGGCTTCTTCCGAGTACCAAAGTCTACTCTCTTCCATTTTTTATTTTTAAAATTAAAATTAAGATTTCTCTCTTCTTCTTTTTCCCCCTTTTCATCTTTTTTTTTTTTTTTTTT